CAAGCGCGCGCCTGCATCGGAGTTGACTGTCCTTCTGAGGGACAAAACGGAATCACGGCTCACGCTACAAAAAAATATTCACGCCTCACGGMTAATTTTTTCGCATTTTCACGACTAACGGCTAATTTTTCAGCCGTTTCATGGCTCACGGTTAACCCCATTGAGACCCTCTTCCATCAAGAAATCACTACGAAGATGTAGGCAGTGTCCAAAAGTTTGAAAGATGTATTGGTATGTTATTTATAACAAAACACTCTTGCAAGACATCATGGAAGCTCACTATGCGGAGGCTGGCCTTTGAGACCTCGTTTTAGTGCTTCGTCCCCAGTGCCCTGGTCGACCGTGACACATCGCGCCATTTTTGAAAGTCATGAATGCTATGCTATGCTATGAGTCTACTGCTGTGAATATCCTGTGTTGAATACTAACCACGTGATAGTGACTAMCCAATCAGATGCTTATCTGTGAGAGGAAGTATTGGTGAAATGTAGAGGTTTCGTGCTGGCTACGCCTAACAAATGTTCAAGTAGTTCACCATAGGATTCTTACCTTACGTAACTAGACAAATAACAATAACTCTCGATGGCCGTACATTCACCGTTCTCTTTGACAATCTATGAAAGTCGCTATGCAGAAGTCTCATTTTTCTTGATGGAATCATATCGACATAAAAATCAGACTCGAAAAAAAAATTAGATTAAAGTTATAGTAAACRATAAGATGACTTCAAAATCGTTTATTGAACGATGCAAATCGATTACAATAGCAGTATTACAGCAAAGGACAGGCTTATTGTCACGTGACTCTAACATTTTGAATCCAATCATACTTGAGAGGACATTTTAATGATAACAATGGCGATTAAACTTTGTGAAGTGCTATTTCGATGTTTAATCGCTCTCTTTTGACCCTACAATCATATCAAGAGTGAACATTTACATGAAAAACATGCGAAGTTTTAGACAATAATATTACTGATACAAATAGATCATAAAGTAGATAAATTYCTTTTGGCATAAAGTCTAAATAGAAAAAGTAATACGAGAAGCTAGATTTATTATTTCAGTTTATATACTACTTATAACCGAGAGTGAGGTCATTACAGGGAAATCTCAGACCGAGGTCTTKGAAGTATGGACCGAGCGATAGCCGAACGGACGAGGTTAATAAGTTATTTATTACATGGCTGTCTTAATGAAAAATARATAAAATATATAACGTGAACAAAACAAAAGAACGGAAGTGATTTAACACTTCCGCTTGCGCGCGCATTTGGTCATTGAATGTCAAGTTCAGTGAACCGGAGCAAAACTGTTGAGCTGTTGAAAAAATACAACAACGAATTGTTTGAAAATGTGTTTATTATAACACAATTTATGTCACAAAACCGCTTTTAATTTGGCAMAATACGCTAATTTTGCTAAAAATATTTCAGAAGTTCCAAATGATTGTAGAAAGAGTTCAATCATCAAGATTAAGACGACTGAAAACGTCAACATGTGCAGACCTTGCAGTCATTTTAGAGAATGTTCAATCTTCTTCATCGTCACTCTCGATGATATAACGTCGCTTTTTCCCTTGCTGAATGCTGACTGGTCCTTTGAAAATCTGGAAACTGACAGTCGGAAATTTTGCTTATGTTGGCTCCACTAAAAATGCTATCTAAAGCACTTGGGTTTGAGGTTTGAACGGCAAGAGAAGTACATGTGTTGGTTGATTGCTGAAGACTCAACTGTTTACTTGAGGACGGCAAGCATAATGACTGCTGAAAACTCGTACGTACTACTAGCGGCTTGTGTGAACTGACGGTTTTCATCAATTCCGCCACTTAAGATGTACGACATTTGGCGTTGAATCCAATCATACTTGAGAGGACATTTTAATGATAACAWTGGCGATTAAACTTTGTGAAGTGCTATTTCGATGTTTAATCGCTCTCTTTTATAATTATAATAGCAATCTTTTATTAGGAAAAAACTATCACGTAAGTGTGGTTTTCATAGAATTCCTAAAAAAGGTAAACTAATATTTACATGGAATTAAGATAAAAATATAAATAATTATATCTATATAAAACTATGGCTAACTTTAAAAAGAAATAAATATTAGAACGATTTCACATAACGATACAAAAAATGCAAATAGGTTTATTTTATGCAAATTTATTGACTGTAAAATGAATTAAGTTAATGTATTCACGTAATACAGACTCTATTCTCTCACGTATTGCAGCTTTTTGCTACTTTGTGTTATCATTACATCACAACAAAACACGAACATTTCATTTTCCGAGCAGACTTGACATGCGCTTCAGTCTTTGTGCCAAGCTTTGCTATAATTTGTATCATAGCACATGCAGAACTGTACCATGCAGCATYTAGTACAAGCTTAGCTTCAAATATTTTCAAAAAGGTTGACACCTGTTTCGGCCAAAAATACCACAAGATCAATGGCAGGAGGGAGTAACCACCTAGGGTGTCTCTTGCGTSTGAACCGTTTTGTTGAGAAAGCCGAGCAAAGGCTGGTCAACAAAAAGTCAAGTCCGTAATYATATTTGGACTCAATAAAAACTGTTTTGTTTTGCTCGTGTTGAATAACAATCAAATCTAATTATAAGATAGGAAACAATGATGTAATAAGTGAAAAAATGAAGCGTGTATTGCATCATCACATGAGTTTATTTTACAGTCAATAAAATTTGCATAAGATAAACCTATTTGCATTTTTTGTATCGTTATGTGAAATCGTTCTAATATAATACAAAAATAAATAGCATATAATATAAAAACTAAGAGAAGGTGGTAAAAAGATGAGAGCGTAACTTTGATTTAAAAATGCTTAAAGATGGCGAATCTCTGATAGATAAATCTGAATTATTCCAATCATTAATGGCTTGGAAGCATGTCCCTTGTTTACCCCAGTTTCTCTTTACTTTCGGTAATCTTAAATTATTTTTAGTACGTGTATGATATGAATGGGTTTCACTGTTTTTTACAATTTTTAAATAATGCTTATTCAAATTATTAACACATTTGTAAATATATATGCAGCGGTGGTAAAGTCTGCGTTTCCCTAAACTCAACCATTTCAGTGATGAGAGTGCATCTGTTGCTGAAGAATAAAAAGGTCTATCAAGGATAATCTTAGCTGCCTTATTTTGGAGTACTTGCAACTTTCCCATTAAAGTAACATTGTCTTTGTCGCCCCAAACTACATCAGCATAGTCAAAAACGGGCACAATGAAGCTATTATAAAAAAGTAACCGGGCGTGAAATGGCAATAAATGCTTAATTCTACGCAAAAGGCTCAAGTTCTTATTGATCTTACAAGAGATATATTCAATGTGGTCAGTCCATGTAAAGTTAGCGGATAGCTTAATTCCAAGATACTTGAAACTAGAAACACTTTT